AGTGTAAGAAACTGAAAGAGTAAATAAGAGTCAAGAGGTACAATATTGTGAGAGGGGAAGAAACTGCTCAAAAGGAAAGAACACCTGGGATGGGGGAAAGGAGAAAAGAAGGAAGGGAAGAAAAAAATACGTATAAATACATACAAGATAGCTAGGATAATGGTACTACTAATTTCTATTAGTTCATTGAAAGGAGCAGTGAGTGTTTGTATTGTTTGATCACCCTTCCATGTCTGCATCTGGCAATCTGAGCAACTACTCTGAAGATGACAATATGCAATATGGTAACCACGGTTAATTTCCTATCATCTTGTTTTGAAATTCTGTATCACTTTTATTGTTTTTTAAAATTTGCTTTAAAATAAAAAGGCCAAGTGGGGTGGCACACACCTGTAATCCCAGCACTCGGGAGGCTGAGGCAGGAGGATCGTTGTGCGTTTGAGACCAGCCTGGGCTACAAAGTGAGTTCAAGGCCAGCCTGAACTGCAGAGTGAGACCCTGTCTCCTACCTGGATACTGGTGTCTTTATGGATTCTTTCCCCCACCTCGTATAAAAAGAACAACACTTTTACTATATTGTCTCAGAGTTACATAAAATCCACGAGACTGTCACAATTTATGCTAGAGGGAACTTAATCTTCTCTCAGTTTCAAAGGGCAACATCCCCTGTGCTGATAAAATCGTAAAGAAAGGAACTGGACAGCAGGTGGGAATCCATGTATGCATGGTAAAGTATGGGCAATAGATTCCTACTGAAAATGCAGGGTTAGGGAGAGTTCTCTGGTAGCTTTGGACCAACCCAGTTTGTCCGTACCTCCTTTTTCACTTGTAGTTCTCGAGAATAACTGTAGAAAGTAAACAACGTCCCAAAATAGTGAGTGTCTTAGTTACTTCCCTTGTTGCTGGGACAAAATACCCAACACCCACTACTTGAGGAAGGAGAGGTTTACTTTGGTTCATATTTTAGTTTAGTTCTGTTTAGATTTGTTTTGTTTTGTTTGTCCTTTTGAGACAAGGTCTCGCTATACAGTTCGAGCTGGACTTGAGCTCACTTTGTAGCCCAGGCTGGACTTGAACTCACAATGATCCTCCTGCCTCAGCCTCCTGAGTGCTGGGATTACAGGCGTGTGGCTCATATTTTAAGCCATCGTCGGCTGGCTCCAAGGCAGGATGGCACGGCAGAGGGGCAGGTGGAGGAGAGGTACTCATGGCGTGGTGGAAAGAAAGCAGAGCGCGTGAAGGAGGAACAGGAGAGGGAGACACCCGCTTCCGGCCAGGCCCTAGTGGCCCACACGTATCACACTGCACCTCCCAGCATCATACTTTCCTATAAATAGGCTATTGTTCCCCTGATCCAGCCGCCTCCCCACAGCCCCACCTATGAGTGACTGAGGCTTTTGGGGACATCTAGATATAAACTATAACATTCCACCCTGGCCTCCCAAACGCTTCCTGCCCAGCTCTTTTTGAAAAATTTATTTAGTCCATCTCTAAGAGTTGCCAAAGTCCTAACACGGTTTCAGCATTGCTGAAAAGTCCAAGTCCAAAGTCTCCTCTGTGACTGAAGGTAAACTCTTAGCCACCAGCCCCTATAAACATCAAAAAGGAAGTTAACTACTGCTGACACACAACGGCCCGGGGTAAACATTCCCAGCTCAGAACAGGAGGAACAGGGAGGCGTAAACAAGGGCAACGAGGGAAGAGTAAAGTTCAGCAGGGCAAGCGTTACCCCCTGTAGCTGCACGGGTAGCACTCAGGGCAAGTTGTGGTGAGGTGATTTCCAAAGGGCTTGTGCAGTGGATTGACAGCTGGTGGTCAACTTATAACCCCCAGCTGAACTGGGTGAGCTGGGTGG